CCCCCGACCTTGTGGGGCTGGCGCTGGGGCTCTCCTGAAGCCTGGAGAGCGAGAGGGGTCGGTGCGCACCATTTTAGGCATGTCCAATTGCTGTGCGATCGCCAACAAGTGGGTCCTTTTGAATCCAGAAGAGGGCATAATGGAGGCAGGGTGGAATGGGAGTGGAGGTTCTTATACGAACTCTGTTAATGCACACAGGGGCTGGGAACTGAACCCCCACGTCAAACAGTTGTGGCCTGTACAAGATATCTATGTTGTTTTTCACTCGATCCAGAATTGGCCTCCACAGTCACTTACGGACTCATTGTTAAAACCGTGTTTATGAAACACAATCTTACTCGGCTACAAGTGATCGCCAAAGAAGTATCAAAGCAGTGTACAACGTAATTAAATGCCATTAAAAACCCTCATAAATATGTACAACAGAATGTTGTATGTATGCAAGCTATGCTTGTGTGAATAAAAAAAAAGGCACTAAATGCCAGTGGAAACACACCAGTAAAGATGCCTGTTGAATCTTGGAGGGGAAGCTATTCAGTCAAGCAGGAGCTATACATCCTTCTTGTGACTGACAGCAGATGGGTCAGGAAAGGCTATAGAACCACCAGCATGAGCTCATCAAAGGATATTAGTGGAAGGGCTGGTTCATATGGGGAGGCTGAGATTCCTGCATTGCAGGAGGCTGGACTAGATGATCCTTTGGCGCCCTTCCAACTCAGAATTGTAAAGGTGCAATCTCAAATAACCAGGTTCCAGGTTGCTTAGCGCTACACAGATGAGCTACATGGGCAGTAACAAAACCTTGAACTTGGTTACGTAGCAGATTGGAAACCAATGTCTCTTCTTCAAGGCAGGTATTATATGCTTGCCGTATGGGTCACCAACTAGCAGCCTAGCCACAGCATTTTGTACCAGCTGAAGCTTCCCGCTCAGGTCAAAGGGATCAATTCCCAAATCTGAGAACCAAGAGGGCCTCAAAATTCAGTATCAGTTTATTGTCCCTCATCCATTCTACCATTCAGCTCCTAGTTCGGGATCTGCTCAGCCCCACCTGATTCAGATGTCACAGAGAACTGTGTACTGATGACACCATGTTTCAGATCTCCTGCTATCCACTCTAACAGCTTCGTAAAGATGCTTAAAAGCATAGGGGACAAGATGGTTCCCTGCAGCACCCCATAGTACAAGTGCAGGGGGTTGAACAAGATGACCCTGGTGGTCCCTTCCAACTCTACAGTTCTATGATTCTGTAGTCACACAATGCTATTCCCTAGAGCTGGAATTGTTTCTCTTTGTTTCCCAATGTATTTCATATCAATTAAAAAATTGGTGTGACATGAGCACATTTTTATTCTCAGAGCATGGCCCAAAGAACAAAACTTTGAAAACCACTGTGTTAAAAGCTGCTGAGATATCAAGCAAAAACAACGGTGTGATACCATTCATCAAGAGCAACCAAGTCCAGTCCCACACCCAGATTGGGAAGGATTTACAGTCGTACCTTGATTCTCGAATGCCTTGTGACTCAAACGTTTTGAATCATAGAATCATAGAATCATAGAGTTGGAAGAGACCACAAGGGCCATCGAGTCCAACCCCCTGCCAAGCAGGAAACACCATCAGAGCACTCCTGACATATGGTTTTGGCTCCCGAACACCACAAACACAAAAGTGAGTGTTACGGTTTGCTAACGTTTTTTGGAAGCTGAACGTCCTGTAGCCAATCGGAAGCCGTGCCTTGGTTTCCAAATGTTTTCGGAAGTCAAACGGACTTCTGGAATGGATTTCATTCAAGAACCAAGGTACGAGTGTATTTATGAACAGGATTTATATGCTGCTTAATCATCAGAACCTCTAAGGAGTTTACATAAGATGCCTTTGATCTTATGTCATGTAAGAGCTGTCACCTCCTAAGAAGTTAGTAGTTGTTGAAAACCCACAGGGTCCAAGTCGCATTTCTTTAGGAGTGGATGCACTCCCACCTCTTTCTCCATACCTTAAAAGAGCATTGGCCATATCGTGAACACACCTTGTCAGCTCCCTTCAGCTAGTTTGAAATTGGCAAGATGGGCAAGGGTCAAGGGGCATGTTGTCATTTGGGCAAGTCATTTTCAAGTACCTTGTACACATCACCAAGCTGGAATTGGACAAGCTGACATGTTTATCACATTATTTGGACCTGTCACAACCGTGGTGTTCAAGTTCCTATGAAGGCAACCAATGTTATCAAAGTGCCCAGCAAATGCATCATAATGGGCATTCAAGGGTTCGATCATCCCATTTGTTGAGATATAGAACAATCCTCCCACCAGTTGGAAAAACTTGCCTAGAATTTTAGCATGCAATTGAGGTAGCAAATGAAGCTTTCTTTGCCACCCAAATAACCATGCAAAAATCACAATTATGTGCCCTAGTGTGTCTGGTTGTCCTCACTGTGTGCCTGGTGCCACCTACACTCCAGCTGCTGTCCAATTCATTTCAATAGCCTGACCTTCCAGGAATAAGCTCACCATCTCATCTACTGGTTATAAGAACTAGGTTTGTGAGATTTAAAATAGCCAAGAACTTAAGCCTACTAGAAATGCACTCTGCTAGTACCACATGAGAACTATTACAAGTTCTTGCCTTCAACATGTATGGTGTTATGATACTCACAAAATAAGGTGCTCACCACTAGGTAAAAGGTAAAGGGACCCCTGACCATTAGGCCCAGTCGTGGCCAACTCTGGGGTTGCAACGCTCATCTCGCTCTATTGGCCAAGGGAGCCGGCGTACAGCTTCCGGGTCATGTGGCCAGCATGACTAAGCCGCTTCTGGCGAACCAGAGCAGTGCACAGAAACGCCATTTACCTTCCCGCCGGAACGGTACCTATTTATCTACTTGCACATTGATGTGCTTTTGAATTGCTAGGTTGGCAGGAGCAGGGACCACTAATCAAAGCAAAATAGCCTAGATGCTGTTCAGTCTGGCTTCAATGAACAAAGAGTGCCTTGGTAACCCTGCTAACGCCAATGGCAGGAAATGGATAGGAGTGTTCTCGTTCGTTCTCCTGCTCCTCTTGGCAATCTTGCATCATTAACCCTGGCATCTTTCTGGATTATTTTAGTAGACAGCCTTTCCCAACATGGGCCCCTCCACATGCTTTAGGCTACAATGCCCATCATCCATGAAGACTGGCCATGCTGGATGAGGCTCGTAAGAGTTGGGAGTCCAATAACACCTGGAGAGCTACAAATCGAGGAAGGCTGCCTTAGAGATTCAAATCAAAAGCAGGTATAAATATTTTAGTAAATAATATGCATATATACCACTCAACTACAGCGTAAGGACTATGGGGGAAATGGTATTGCACACTGTATATCGTCTCCTAATCCTTGTGTATTCAATTCCCAACATACTGACAAGTGCACAAACGCAGGACAGATGAAATGATAGAGAAGTATAAATAATAATTTATTTATACCCCACCCATCTGGCTAGGTTTCCCTGGCCACTCTGGGCGGCTTCCAGCAGAATATTAAAATAAAATAATTCATCAAATATAAAAAGCTTCCCTAAACAGGGCTGCCTTCAGGTGTCTTCTAAAATCAGATTATTATTGTTCTTGTTTGTTTCTTTGACATCTGATGGGAGGGCACTCCACAGGGCGGGTGCCACTACCGAGAAGGCCCTCTGCCTGGTTCCCTGTAACTTCGCTTCTTGCAGTGAGGGGACCGCCAAAAGACCCTTGGAGCTGGACCTCAGTGTTTGAGCAGAATGATGCGGGTGGAGACGCTCCTTCAAGTATACTGGGCCAAGGCCATTTAGGGCTTTAAGGGTCAGCGCTATAATTTAAAAAAATAGTACAGTGTGTCTGTACCCTTGCAATTGCTTCTCTTTTATAGGGAACAGCAATTGGAGAACCAGCAACCAAATTGAGCTCCATGCCAACTGGATCCACAGTTAACAACCCAAAGGCAGGTTGGAGGAGAAGCACTGACATTTAGGGCAATAGGTCCTATTGTTGTTGTTACTATTCCATCTCTTCCTCAAAGTGACCATCTTGTAAACTAGCTGCTACTTAGAATCACAAAACTAACAATACAATGCTCTGCATGGTTACTAAAAGTAGAAGACCCCCATTAAATAATCTGATATGTATGCATACAATGGCAGCCTAAGCAAGAAAACCATTATCTTTTTCATTATATATTGTGTCCCTATAAACAAATCCAGGTACATTTGGATACTCCAACCTGCAGATGGGTGGAGGCCTACAGGGCTAAACAAAGGAGTTCCCATTAAATGTCAGTGATGATAACATGCAAGGCTCCTACCAATCCTGCATATTGGAAATAGAGCGTTCAACAGGGAGACAGAAGGGGTTGTTCTTCACTTTCACATTTGTAGGTGATGATGGACAACCACTGGAGCCCGGGGGGAGGGGTGCTATTTGGAGGCAGCAATAGCACCGGTCTTCAAAATACAGTTACTGTATGTGGGTTATTAGGGCACTTAACTGACCCGTAGCCCAGCTAGGAGTAAACACGGCTATGGGGGGGGGGGCGCCTGTCAAAACCAACACATGGGAAAGGACATGGATGCATCTGCCCAAAGTTCAAGGGAGGATGGGGCCGAGCTCGAGGGGAGATCCGCGGAGGGGCAAACTGGCTGTCAGGATCCCCGCGCCCGGAGGCGGCGTCCCAGGCGACAGCGAAGGACAAAGAGCGCCAGAGGGACCCGGCCGAGCAGAGGGACCCGGTCTCCGACAGGCTGCCCGGGGCCACGGGGGGGGGGAGGGGAGGGGGCGCAGAAGCACAAAGGGCTCCCGGCCGCCCCGCTGCCCGGCCTCCGCCTCGGGGAGCCTCGGCGCCGGGGGTCCCGCCAAAGGGCGCCGCGCCGCCCCGGCAGGCAGGGAGGCGGCCGGAGAAGCGGGATCCCGGCGGGGCGCCGTCCCCGCACGAGGCAGGCTGCGGCCTACGCAGAGCGGCTTCTCCCGGCCCGGCCGCCCGGCACCCACCTCCACGTCTCGGCCCTTGTTCTTGAAGCTCTTGAAGCGGTGGTTCTCCAGGCCGGCGGCGGCGGCGGCGGCGGCGGCAGCGGCGTTGTCAGCCATGACGGCGGCAGAGGCTCCGGGCTGAGGCGGAGACGGCGCGCGCACGCGCGAGCGAGCGAGGGCGGGCAGGGGCGGGGCGACGCCCAGTGACGAGAGGGGCGGGGCTTCCGGGGCGCCTGCGCAGCGAGCGAAGAGCGGGAAAGGGCAGAGCGGCCGCGGAATTGCGTCGAGGCCTCGCTTCCGGGGAGAAGGAGGCTGAGGGCCGGCAGGCGGCTGCTTGGCCCTGGGCACGCTGCTGCTGCTGCGAGGGAGTCCCGGCGCGGCGCTGCTTTGGCCGGAGGGGAGGCGAGGCGGCGGGCCAAGTCCTTTCCGCGGGATCGGCGCCGCCTCCCCTGCCGGCCCCTCCGCGACCACGAAAGGCAACCGGCGGCCTTCCTCGGGGCTCCCGCCCCTCGCCCTCGAGGCGCGCTGCTGGCCCTTCCTCGCCCGCAATATGGTCCGGAAACCTGAAATCTGAACCCAGGGAATGGTTGACCTAGGCATGCATGCTTTTGAATGTTCTTTTTAAACCAACAACCTTGAAATAAAAGGTTTTTCTATATGCCAGATTCGCACAAAAGATGTGCGCGTCGCTATCCGTGTATCACTCCAAGCCAGGCGAGCTGTTTTAGTAAATCGCATCCTTCCCGTCAGACTAAAGGAAATAACATAGCAGTAGAGGGTGTGGTAATAGACCTCCCCCAGGGAAACGGGCACTTCAACACTGGATTTTCTCCCTATGTTGTATTAGCTGTGGATCTGGAAAATCCCTAGGGGGGGGGCGAGCGCAGGATGCCACTTGGATGGAGTTTATTGTGAAGCTGCTGCTGCTGCTGCTGCCAAAATTAGAGAATCCAAGCAGCTTCAAATCCACATTGAATTCCATCGTGCACACGCCCTGGGAAGGCAAGGGACTTACAGTTTCTGCCCAGTCTTTATACTGTGTGATAGAGCAGAGGTTTTCAACCTTCTTGGGTCCACAGCTCCCTTGACTAACTACCTTCTTTCTGCAGGACCCCCATGGGGCTCAGAAGTCCAGTTGGGTCACCCCTTGCCTGCAGAACCCTTTTCAAGCACCCTTGTGGAGTGTTCCCTCAGGCTCCTCCCCCCTCTCCTTGGGGGTCCTCTGGGCAGCCACCCCTGGTCTCTGAGGCGCTAAAGAGAGGCATCATTTGTCTGCAGAGCTTGTAGGCAGAGCTGCTGCAATAAACAGCTGTGCAAGCTGTTGGGAGGCAGAGAAGCAAGGGCATCAGAGGAGGGAGGGAGGGAAGGAAGCAAGGAAAGAGGGACAGAGTCTAGTGTTGCCCGCAGCACCCCTGACCATCATTCAAGGCACCCCAGGTGCCATGGCACACTGGTTGAAAGCCACTGCCTTAGGACGCCCCATCATCTCAGGTATCTGCACTATCACAGTGGGTATTTCTGGATATATGGACTCTGTTCTGAAACCATATGCCATCAGTGCTCCTAGCTAAATATGTGATATCACAGACTTTCTGAGGAAAATACAATCTTTGAGCAAGCTACCTAACAATACTATACTAGCCACTATGTATGTGGAATCCCTGTACACCAACATCCCACAGAACGATGGATTACAAGCTATAAGGAACACCATCTCTGATCAAATCACAGCGGACTTTGCTACCAAACTGCCATTTTCTTCTCACCCACAACCACTTCAAATTTGGAGATGACCTGTTCCTCCAGATCAGCAGCACAGCAATGGGCACCCACATGGCCCCACAGTATGCCAACATCTTCATGGCAGATTTGGAACAACGCTTCCTAAACTCCTACCCACTCAAACCTCTCTTGTACCTGCAATACATTGACAATATTTTTATTATCTGGACACATGGTCAGCAGACCCTGGACACCTTCCACCAGACATTCGATGACTTTCACCCCACCATCAACCTAACAAGAAATACATTTTCTGGACACTACTATAAAAATACAGAATGGGCGTATAGACACCACCTTATACCGAAAACCAACTGACCGACAAACAAATCTGCATGCTTCCAGCTACCATACCAAACATACCAAACAAACAATTGTATATAGCCAGGCTCTACGTTACAGCCACATCTGTTCCAACTCTACAGACAGGGATTCTCACCTAAGGGATCTACAACAAACGTTTTTGGAACTAAACTATCCTCCTGATGAAGTTAAACAACAAACTTTCTGCAAGACAGATTCAAAACAAAACAGAACACCACTGGTAACCACATACAGCTCCAAAGTTAAAACAGCTCATTGCATCATCAGAGATTTACAACCTCTCCTAAACAATGACAGTTCTCTTTCTCAAGCTCTGGGAGGAAGACCTTTCATTGCCTACAGACAGCCACCCAATCTTAAACAACTCCTCACCCACGATAATACAACAACCAGACTTAACATGGACACTGGTACCAGAGCCTGCAATAAACCCAGATGCCAACTTTGCTGCCACATACACCCAGACAACACCATTACTGGCCCCAACAACATCAAACATACCATCTCAGGTGTATTTAAATGCTCATCTTAAAACATTGTGTATGCCATCAAATGCCAGCAGTGCCCTTCAGCTCTCTGTATTGGACAAACAGGCAAACCCTCTGCCAAAGGACTGTTGTTTAGTCGTGTCCAACTCTTCGTGATCCCATGGACCACAGCACGCCAGGCCCTCCTGTCTTCCACTACCTCCCGCAGTTTGGTCAAACTCATGCTGGTAGCTTCGAGAACACTGTCCAATCATCTCGTCCTCTGTCGTCCCCTTCTCCTTGTGCCCTCCATCCTTCCCAACATCAGTGTCTTCTCCAGGGAGTCTTCTCTTCTCATGAGGTGGCCAAAGTATTGGAGTCTCAGCTTCAGGATCTGTCCTTCCAATGAGCACTCAGGGCTGATTTCCTTCAGAATGGAGAGGTTTGATCTTCTTGCAGTCCATGGGACTCTCAAGAGTCTCCTCCAGCACCATAATTCAAAAGCATCAATTCTTCGGCGATCAGCCTTCTTTATGGTCCAGCTCTCACTTCCATACATCACTAGTGGGGAAACCATAGCTTTTACTATATGGACCTTTGTTGGCAAGGTGATGTCTCTACTTTTTAAGATGCTGTCTAGGTTTGTCATTGCTTTTCTCCCAAAAATCAGGCGTCTTAATTTCGTGACTGCTGCCACCATCTACAGTGATCATGGAGCCCAAGAAAGTAAAATCTTTCACTGCCTCCATTTCTTCCCCTTCTATTTGCCAGGAGGTGATGGGACCAGTGGCCATGATCTTCGGTTTTTTGATGTTGAGCTTCAGACTATATTTTGCGCTCTCCTCTTTTACCCTCATTGAAAGGTTCTTTAATTCCTCCTCACTTTCTGCCATCAAGGTTGTGTCATCTGCATATCTGAGGTTGTTGATATTTCTTCTGGCAATCTTAATTCCGGCTAGGGATTCATCCAGCCCAGCCTTTCGCATGATGAATTCTGCATAAGTTAAATAAGCAGGAAGACAATATACAGCCTTGTCGTACTCCTTTCCCAATTTTGAACCATATGCAGTTCTAACTGTATGGAACTGTTGTTCCATATCCAGTTCTAACTGTAGCTTTTTGTCCCACATGGAGATTTCTCTTTTTTTAAAAAAAAAACTTTTATTAAGTTTTCCATTTAACAATCCAATCATATCACATTAATTATTCCAAATTATACCAACACATATCATAAAGTCCAAATATTTTGCCAAATTATATACTTTTGTTGGGGATTCACATGCTTCGAGTTCAGTAAGGGTCCAGTCATCTCATATTTCTGCTGCTTTTAGTGTTCACCAGTCCCATCTTTCAATCTTCTTGTTGTTATCCTTTTTCTTCTTAATAGCCTCTGAGTTGTTTGCACAGGCGAGTTAAAGTAAGCAATATTATGCTTCTGTGTGAACTTTGTAAGGCTCTCCCTTTTTTAAAAAGCTGGTAAGTCTTTTGTTTGCAATAAATCACACACTGATCCAAAAGTCCTCCTTGAGCGGCAGACGCCATCATTCTCAGTTCCGATGAAATAAAATCTAGGCGTTTGCTCATTAATTTTCCCAGACAGGTTGCATCATAAATTAGGCTTTCCAGGGAAGATTTTGCCAAGTCGAACTTAGAATACAAACATGATAACAGAGTAGTGGCTCGCCTCCCCCTGTGCCTATTAATCTCGCAACAAAGTCTGTCTCATAATGGCGGATCCCGATTAAAAACTGCGTCACAAGAGAGCCTTTTATTTTCTTTCCAGATCTTTCAAAAAACAAAGGCTTTAGTTGATATTTTTATTTCCACACAGTTTATTTTCCAATCTCACTTGTTATAAGTCGTATGACAGTTCTTCTGGGGTGGGGGTTGTTAGGTAATATCGTAATAAAAAAAAGAAAAAGTCCCCCCCCCTTTCCGTTCCGTTTCAACATACCAGCATAGATGTTATTCTTTGATGTTATCTTCTGTCCAGTCCATTCCATCACTCTTAACTTCTCAGTGGCAGGCTTAATTACCAGCTAACATACCCTTTTCTTCGCTCAAAGCATGTGCAATAACTTTTATATCCAATTTTTTATCTTAAGTAATGCAACTAGAGTCGCTCTCAGAGACAGTGTCCGGGAGATCCGAACTCACTCGAGGGCTTTCTGTCCAGTGCCCTCACCCCCTCCTTCTTTCGAGCTCGGGGGTGATTTATGGGCAACCGCGAACGAGGCTGCAACTTCCCTTCCACCGGGAAGAATTTGGGAGGCTGATTTACTCCCATCAGCCCCTTAATTACCTCGTGTAAGCTGGAGAGATGGTATTGAAGCAGAAGTAGATGTCTTTCTGGAACTCTCTAGCTTTCTCCATAATCCAGCGCATGTTTGCAATTTGGTCTCTAGTTCCTCTGCCTCTTCTAAATCCAGCTTGCACTTCTGGGAGTTCTCTGTCCACATACTGCTTGAGCCTTCCTTGTAGAATTTTAAGCATAACTTTGCTTGCATGTGAAATGAGTGCAATTGTGCGATAGTTGGAGCATTCTTTGGCACTGCCCTTCTTTGGGATTGGGATGTAGACTGATCTTCTCCAATCCTCTGGCCACTGCTGAGTTTTCCAAATTTGCAGACATATTGAGTGTAGCGCCTTAACAGCATCATCTTTTAAAATTTTAAATAGTTCAGCCGGAATACCATCACTTCCACTGGCCTTGTTATTAGCAGTGCTTTCTAAGGCCCAGAAAGACGTGGGTGGCACTGTGGGTTAAACCACAGAGTCTAGGACTTGCCGATCAGAAGGTTGGCGGTTTGAATCCCGGCAACGGGGTGAGCTCCCGTTGCTCGGTCCCTGCTCCTGCCAACCTAGCAGTTCGAAAGCATGTCAAAGTGCAAGTAGATAAATAGTGCAAAGTGCAAGTAGATAAATAAAGCAAGATGAGCGGCGCAACCCCAGAGTCGGTCACGACTGGACCTAATGGTCAGGGGTCCCTTTACCTTTACCTTTACTAAACTGAAAACTATGGAGAGACCTGGTCTGAATAGA